TTGCATCCAAGTTTAGCTTCTCCAAGAAGCTTGAACCCTTTGTTTCTTCTATAAGAGAGGCTCTCCCTCTCCTTGAACCAGAGTTCAGAAAAAATTTCCTAAGGCACAAACACATATCTCTCTCTATATCTTTATATTTTGAGCCAAAAGTGTGTATTGTTCTTGACCTTTAACACCCCAACTCTTAGCCATACATCCTTACCATTGAACTGAGGTTCCTAGAGGTTATTTTTGGAGGTTAAAAGGGTGGTTTTTGCCTGTAGTGTAAATCATGTTTACTAGCTTAGAATGCATGATGTTTTGGTCCTCTATTCTAGCATATTTTGGCTATGCTCCAACCTGGTTTTGTTTATATTTTGGGCTGTCTTAGCTCTGTTTTGAGGCCTCTTGGTCAAAAGATGCTTGCCATGCATGCTTGTAGTGTAATAGCCTTGACTAGTTTCGATTTTTGAAGTCCCTTGTATGCTTAACTTGAGGTATTTTCATGTTTTGGCATCATTGAGCATGATATTTCAGAGCATATAGGGCTGTCATACTTCCATGTTTTCCACTCTTTAAGTGCCCTTGAGAGTTGTGCTTTTATACCCTATTTTGTGAGCCATTGCATGAGCTTCATTTTTGTGCCTTTCAAGCCATCATCCCAACTCATTTTGCTACTATTTTGGGCCTGCATAGAGTCTTTTTGGAGTTGGTTTGGCCATTTGAGCATTGCCTTGCATGCCTATAGTGTAATACACTTCACTAGTTTCGATGCTTGAGCCATTCAACATGCATTACATGAGTTGTTTGCATAATTCGAAGTCATTTTGTATGCCATTTCAGAGCTGAAACATGTGTCATTGCATTCCATATTTCATCCTTTCAATGCGTTTGGAAAGTTGTGTTTTGTTGCCTAGCTTATGGACCAATATGTGTGTATGTGTATCTTGCCTTTTGGTGCCTTAGTCTTGGTGTTATGGTCACTGATTTGGGTGTGGCTGAGGCCCATCCATTTTGGTTCAAGTCCATTTTGCATTGAGTATGCCATTATAGTTCATAGCATTGAGTATGCCATGTTGTCGCATGATTGATCATTGCATTGTGCATGCCTTGTTCATCTCATTGTGTATGTTAGTTTCTACGTGCATTGTGTATGCTAAGTGTCATGTGCATTGAGTATGCCATTGTTAGTTCATAGCATCGTGTATGCTAGTTGCATGTTTGCATGTTATCCCTTGCATGTTTGCATAACTTAGTTGCATTGCATTAAGATTGCATGCTAGAGTTGCATTGGTGCATGCCTTGTTTGTTGCATTGTGTTTGAATAGGGGTTAGTCCAAACACGGGGAACGAGGGACGTTTCATGCTCGAAATGATGAAACGTGCCTCGATTCCCGGTCACCGACACTCTTGACTACCCATAACAGAGTTATTGGCTTTAGGTGCTTGTATGTGCATTCATTTCATATTGAGTCGCGCAATTCGGCTTCTCGGCCATCATGCATTGAAATGCGCGATTAGTGGCCCGAGGGTCGAGAACCACACTCCTCCCTTGAGCTTACGTAATGATAGGAAGGGTGGTTGTGCATATATGTGTTGCAAATACTTTGCCATGCCCCTTTCTTGCCCTCTGTTGCAGAAAACTAGAAACCAGCAGCAAAAACTGGTCGGCCGACCAGATAAAGTGGTAGGCCGACCACTTTTTCTGGTTTTCACCATAACAAGTGGTCGGCAGGTGGTCTCCAAAGCCAACAACTGGTTGGCAGCCTTCCCATAGGTTCCATTGGTGGAGTTTCAGCCTTCTGGAGCTTTGTGCAGTATTCTGAGATCAATTGCAAACAGAGGCAAGTCGGGGCATCGTGACGGATTTCCAAGCAAGGCAATTCGAGCATGCATGCATCCTTCATTATCCGAGGCAGAGTTGAGGCAGCCCATTTCACATAGTTTGCATGCTTATTTAATTGCTAATTTAGTTGATTTGTTAACTAGTTAGTGTTGTATAATAATTAGCTGTAGCTTGTTATTCATTCTGTTGTGTAATAACTAGTTTAATTAGATTAGTTTAGATTAGCTAGTTGGTCCTGTATTATTCATTTGGACCCTCCGTCGAGAGGGCACAACTTTTGTAAATAAGTGTGCGTGTGTGTGATGCATGTCTTCCAACCCCCATTTCTTTCTCCCTTTTATTTACCAGCTTACGATGGTTAGTTTTAGGGCATGTTTCAATTAGCATCCTTATGCTCGCATGTTTGCATCCATTCATTTGTCTTGCATGCACCGGGCTCGGCGCATCATACTAACTTCATTGTATTTCAATTCATGTTTGAATACATGTATCAAGTTACATTTCGCATGACAATTTAGAATAGCCGAGCCTATCTTAGTTGCATTTTGTATGTGTTGCATTAGGCATTCTTGACATAGCTAGGATCATGCATTGATTTCTAACATAGCTTTTGTTTTGGCTCGGAGTACTCAGTAATTGTTTATGTTTTAGCATCCTTGCCTCGGCCATCATGCATCAAAATGCATGATTGATGGCCCGAGGATCGAGAACTATACTCCCTTGAGCTCATGTAATGATAAGGAGGATGGTTGTGCACACATGTGTTGCAAATACTTTGCCATGCCCCTCTCTTGCCCTCTGTTGTAGAAAACTAGAAACCAGCAGCAAAAACTGGTCGGCCGACCAGATAAAGTGGTAGGCCGACCACTTTTTCTGGTTTTCACCATAACAAGTGGTCGGCAGGTGGTCTCCAAAGCCAACAACTGGTTGGCAGCCTTCCCATAGGTTCCATTGGTGGAGTTTCAGCCTTCTGGAGCTTTGTGCAGTATTCTGAGATCAATTGCAAACAGAGGCAAGTCGGGGCATCGTGACGGATTTCCAAGCAAGGCAATTCGAGCATGCATGCATCCTTCATTATCCGAGGCAGAACTGAGGTAGCCCACTTCACATATTTTGCATGCTTATTTAATTGCTAATTTAGTTGATTTGTTAACTAGTTAGTGTTGTATAATAATTAGCTGTAGCTTGTTATTCATTCTGTTGTGTAATAACTAGTTTAATTAGATTAGTTTAGATTAGCTAGTTGGTCCTGTATTATTCATTTGGACCCTCCGTCGAGAGGGCACAACTTTTGTAAATAAGTGTGCGTGTGTGTGATGCATGTCTTCCAACCCCCATTTCTTTCTCCCTTTTATTTACCAGCTTACGATGGTTAGTTTTAGGGCATGTTTCAATTAGCATCCTTATGCTCGCATGTTTGCATCCATTCATCTATCTTGCATGCACTAGGCTCGGCGCATCATGCTAATTGCATTATATTTCAATTCCTGTTTGAATACATGTTTCAAATTGCATTTCACATGACATTTTTAGAATAGCTGACCTTATCTTAGTTGCATTTTGTATGTGTTGCATTAGGCATTCTCGACATAGCTAGAATCAAGCATTGATTTCTAACATAGCTTTTGTTTTGGCTCGGAGTACTCAGTAATTGTTTATGTTTTAGCATCCTTGCATATGTGTGAGTGACTGCCATGATAGCATGCTTGCTATGAGGCTAACTGCTTATGTGATATAACTGCCTGAATGCTTGTGGGTGAAGGTTGGATTACATGAATCGGAACAATTCATTCATTGCAAGTTTTAAGCCCACTTGAGGGTGGCAAAATCCGCATTTTAGCCTACTTGTGAGTAGCAAACCGCTTTCAAAAACAAATATGAGATGTTTTGTTCCAACTTAGGCGATCCAGTCTATACTTGTTTGCTGTGCGCATCACATAGTAATTCTAGGTTAATAACCGGAATAAGAGCACATGTGTTTTCAAAAACAAGATATCATGTTAGTAAAGGCCGATCTTTGATCGGGCGAGCGGGGGTGCTCATTGCATGACTTTCCCCTCTCGTACCCAAGTTCCTGAGCTGAGGCAACTTTGGTGATGACGGACACGCGGCCTTAGGCACGAGTCAGGGTTTCCTAAATTTCCTCAAAATAAAATATTTAGGTGGCGACTCTGTGTCTGGCAAAGCAATCCATGTTTGGCACTTCTTTCTAAAAATCAATTTTTCAAAATGATTTGTCGGATTTGGACTCTTTGGTGATTTATCAATCTCACACTACACATTGTGAGATTAGATTAAGAACCGTGACATTGAGTCCAAACTGTAGTGAGCCCAATGAACAAAACAGGATTTTCCCGGGACGTTCAGGCGCGTCTACAGTGATGAAAGTCCAAGAAGGGGGCAAGATGGTGTACTATTTGTGAAGGTGTGGGGAGTCGGTTTTTTCAGCCACCGACTCCAAGTCAAAAGAAGAGCCTCCTGACAATGACATAGTAATAAAGCCTGAAGTGGCTCCAAAATGCATGCAAGATGGGCCGAAGCCTCAGCCCGAACAACTTATTGAAATAGATCTGAGTGATGGACAAGATGCTCCAAGGTCAATATTCATAAGTTTGAGCCTTAGCCCAGAGAAGCGGGAACAGTTGTTAAAATTGATAAGCAGGTACTCAGATGTGTTTGCTTGGTCATATAAAGAAATACCCAGACTAGATCCTGACCTAGTCTCCCATTATCTTGTTGTGTTCCTAAACTCCAAGCCAATTAAGCAAGCTACTCGAAAATATCATCCAGATCTCGAAGAAAAGATTAAAGAGGAGATTGAAAAACTTTAACAAGCAGGTTTCATCCCACGTGGTTGGCAAACATAGTGCTAGTAAAGAAGAAGAATGGTCATATCAGAGTATGTGTAGACTTTTGAAATTTGAACAAATCATGCCCGAAGGATGAATTCCCTCTACATCACATCGATACCCTTGTGGATGCCACATAGGGACACCAGATGTTCTCATTCATGGATGGATTCAGTGGATACAATCAAATTAAGATGGCTGAAGAGAACGCAGAAAAGACTACTTTTAGAACACCTCTCGGAAACTTCTTCTATACAGTCATGCCTTTCAGACTCAAGAATGCCGGAGCAACTTACCAAAGGGCTATGATTGCAATCTTTCATGACATGATCCATCATGACGTGAAAGATTATGTTGATGATCTAGTGGTGAAATCCAAGAAAGAAGAGGACCATCTCCAAGACCTCGAGAAAGTATTCAAGAGGTGCCAGAAATTCAAAATGAGGATGAATCCTCTCAAATGTGCTTTCGGGGTGACAGCCGGGAAGTTTCTCAAGTTTCTTGTACATAGGCATGGTATCGAGGCAGATGAAGACAAGGTCAAGTCTATCAGAGGAATGCCTCCCCGCATTCTCAAAAGGAGTTAAAGAAGTTCCTTGGGAAGGTGTCTTACATTCGAAGGTTTATCCCAGTACTTGCAGAGATCTCTGCCCCCTTCGGCTCTTTGTTAAAAGGAGATGCCAAGTTTGAGTAGAACCAAGAGCACCAAAAGGCCTTCGAGAGAATCAAGGCGGCCTTGACCTCGCCTCAGACCATGATAGCCCCGCAGCCCGAGGTACCTTTAAGTATTACATCAGTCGAAAAATTCAAGGAGCAGAAGTCCGATATACTTCGGTAGAGAGACATTGTTTAGCTTTGGTATTCACCGCCCAAAAGCTCAGACATTGCTTCTTAGCACATCAGATTCAGATTGCTACTAGAAGTGATCCAATCTGATACCTCCTCAGCAAGCCTGCTCTAATCGGTAAGGTGGCAAGATGGTTGTTAGCACTGGGTGAATTCGAGATCACATGTGTAGCTCCCAATGAAATCAAAAGCCAAGCCTTAGCTGATCTCCTTGCCCAATTTCCAAGTGGTGACTATGAACCAGTGAGTGAAGAATTAAGAGGAGAAGTGCATGTAGCTATGGCTTCCGAGGAAAGCTTTTGGACATTGAGCTTTGACGGAGTAGCAGCCAGAGGGAAAGGAGGAACCGGGATAGTCCTTACAAGCAAAAATGGAGAAAAGTTATATTTGTCTTATAAACTGGATTTCCATTGCTCGAATAATGAAGCCGAGTATGAGGCTCTTATTTTAGGCTTGATAGCAACTGAGAAGCACAATATCAAGAAGTTTCGGATTTGGGGGGACTCAAAGCTGATAGTGAAGCAAGTTTCAGGACAGTTTGTCTTAAAGTAGCCTGCCTTGGCCACATATCGAACAACAGTCCAAAGGCTTCTTGACAAATTTCAGAAAGTTGAAATAAAGCATATGCCTCACTCCGACAACAAGTTTTCAAATACCCTCGCAACATTAGGGGCAAGAGTTGACATTCCAGATGAGGAGGCGACAATTGTTATCAAGAAGAGAACAGAGCCTTCAATAATACCCGAGGACAAAGACTTTCCGAAGGACTGGAGAAGAGAAGTCCTCGAACAACTCAGAAGCAAAGTTGAAAAATTGACTATGGCCAAGCTTGCCCAATTCATGATTATTCAAGGTGAACTTTACTTCCGAGGAGGTACCGGATTCCTTGCCCAGTGTGTTGGCCAACAAGAAGCAAGCTTCCGACTATAACAGATTCATAACAAGTCCTATAGGGATAGGGATATTAGTTTGTACAGAATGATCCAAAGACAAGGCTATTATTGGCCCGAGATGGAGAAGGCCTCGAATTACCTACAGAAAGAATGCCCCAAGTGTCAGTCATACATCCGAGAGGATAAGAGTTGCTTTGAAATTGATACCCCTGACTGGAGACAAGTCTACATTGACTATCTCAAAGAGAGAACACTACCTGAGAGCCCGAGGGACATTGCACACCTCAAGAAAAGTGCGAGGCAGTACTTTCTTAATCAGAACAAGCTTTACAGAAGAAGTATTGAGGGCACTCCCCTGAGGTGTCTCTCCAAAGAGGAGTCAGATCTAGTCCTCGAAAGAGCCCGAGATGGAGCATCAAGGAGGGGCTCGGTTGTTCGAGCAACTTATACACCTTGGGTATTACTGGCTGACCATGGAGTCAGATGTGTCCCATCACGTGAAGAGGTGTCAGACTTATCAGAAACACGGAAATTTGATCCATGCTCCAGCCATAGACCTGCATAGCATCCGAACGCCATGGCCGTTCCATACCTGGGCTTTTGATTTGACAAGGCCCATTTGATCTAATAAGGCCTATTTTCACACCTTCTAAGGGGTACAAATAGATTCTCACAGCTACAGAATTAAGCACTAAGTGGGTCGAAGCAATCCCTCTAAAGAACGCTACGGGGCCTGCAGTCTCGAATTTCATCAAGGAAAATATCATTTGCCGGTTCGAAGTACCAAACACCATCCTCTCAGACAACGACACACCCTTCTTAAACAAATATGTGAAGAGCCTCCTAGAGACTTACCACGTGAAGCATCACAAATCCACACCCTACTATCCAAAAGGAAACGGGCAAGTGGAGGCCACAAACAAGACACTGATAAGGATTCTGAGCAAGATAATGGATGAATTTGGTAGGACTTGGTCCGAACAGTTGATAGTAGCCCTATGGGCATATCGTACATCAAAGAGAGAGCCAACTCAAGCAACTCCTTACTCCTTTGTGTATGGGTCCGAGGCAGTGTTACCTATAGAGTTGGAAACACCATCTGCTCGGATGGCTCTCACCTCGGGGATGGTACCGGAGCCTCGAACCACCAGATTAGAAGCATTAGAGGAAAAGCATGACAGAGCCGCAAAAGTCACAGAAAGGTATCATGAGTCCATTGCCCGAGCCTATAATCAGATTGTGGTGCCAAGAAAGTTCGAAGAAGGTGATCTAGTATGGAAGATCGTAGACCCAATCATGTGAGGACAACCTTTGCCCAAGTTTTCTCTGAAATGGGAAGGGCCCTACAGGGTGGTTCAAGCAAGCTCAAGCGGGTACTATATGGTTGTAAGGGTTAAAGATGGCTTCCGAACTGGCCCGCTCAATGCAAAGTTTAACAAGCGTTACTACCCGTAGATAGACTCGTCTATGTTGAAATTCATTTTCATTTTCTTACTTTGTCTAAAAGTTGTATTTCCCTTATGTTATGAAGAAGCTGGTTTTCTTTATGGAGTATGTTTATCCCATCACTTGCAGTGAATATATTATACTTTTGTCAAGAAAGTTAAAAAATTAATGAGAATATTTCAGCTTTTATAAACATGTGCATATGATTGTTCTTTCCATTGTATCATTCGAAATAAATATTTTATCAAGTAGAATGAGAAAACAATGCGAAAATCTCCAAACAACAAAAATTTTGTCATTTCATTGCATTGTTCTAGATAAAACATTTTTTATCGAAAGGGGCAAGAAAGTAATACAAAAAAAAAAAAAAAAAAAAAACTCAATCTCTCCTAAAAACACCCTCGAAGAAGTTGCCCGTCACATCTATATCCGGAGGACAAACAGCAGAGTGTGCCTCTAAAGTCTCCAAGGCCCGAGTATAGCCCAACTCAAGTTCACGAAGAGCTGCCTTTGTCTCATCTATAGAGGTCCGATAAAAGGCAAGCACAGAGAAAATATTCACCCGATGACTGGCGTTCGAAGCTATATCCAGGCGCTTCCAAAGCCATAATAAATCCACTTGGTGACGCTCCATGTCAGAGATCTTCTGATACGCTGTCTTGATTACTTTTCCATTAAGGTCACACAGTCGTTGCCTGTCCAAGCTATATAAGATAGTGGCAAAAGACTCGAGAAGAGCAGTCTGAATAAGTGGACATTGGCAAGCAAATGAAGCAAAGGTCTCAGGGTAACTCGAATGCACAAGCTGTAGAACTGAAGCAAACTCAAGAGCTACCCAATAATGGCGAAATGATACTTTGCCAGAAGCCGAAGGAGGAATTGGGGTCGGAAAGCTACTAGTCTCAGGAATCTCCCCAATGTCTATTGGGTTAGATGAACCACCCGGAGGGGTAATTTCCGGCAGAGGTCCCGAGCCTGAGAATGCGGAGCGATAAGGGGAAAGACCAAAAACATCACTATCAAAATGGAAATCATTGAGATTCAGATCCAAAACATTCGAAGGCACTTGCAATGAAGAACCTCTAGCAGTCGTCTTAAAGGCAGGTGTCTTCCCTTGAGAAGGAGAACAATGAGGAGTCACAAAAAGAGTCGGAGTAGAGTCCAACGTAGGTGAATGCAGGACCCCGATAGCAGCTAACACTGGAAAAAGATAAGGAAGTCTTATCAGGGATAGGGAACAGTAAAACCATTTGAGTAAAGATTTCTCACAGATAGAAGTACATGACAAACTTCAGAAAGAAAGATTACCAGAGGGAGAATCATTATACAAAGCCGGAGCAACTGAAGGGCTCCTAGCATCAACAAAGTCACTTGGTCGTACAAGGAGCACCTGATCGATCTCAATGTCTAATGAAGCCTGAACAGTAGCAGTCATCCCTAAAAAAGGAAGGAAGGCCGGAGGATGAGAATCACCATAAGTACCAGAGCGAGTCTCGGAGATTTCTAGCACATCCACCTCCACACCATTCCTAGAGGCGTACCTCATCTCTACATTGCTTCTAGAAGCATGGCCTGCGGTATCAATTTCTGTGGCATCAATCCTTTTAGCAATCTCAACATCAGAACAATGAGCCCCGATAACCTTGTCACCAAGATAGCGCTCATCCTCAGTTACGATAGGACGGTGACGATGCATGCGTGGGATGAGGTCACAAAAATGATTGGAGGACTTAGCCTTATCATCATCATCATCTATAACTGCTATACGAGGGGTGCGCATCTTCACAAGTCTTGCAGACAAAGAGAGGGTGTTGTCCAAGTCTGAGTCTGGCCTGGTGGAGGCAGCATGGCCAGTAGCCACGGTACTAAGAATGTCAGCAACCGCATGGTTCTACACAACAGGGAAAAATAAAAAGTGTTCATTTAAGAAGGTATAGTCGCAAGAAGGAAAGTAACTTCAAATAAAAAAAAAAATTGGGTACCTGGTAGAGCCCTTTGGAAAGGCAAGGAGTGGAAGGACTAGCATCAGAAGCCCTCTTGTGAGCCATCTTCTTAAGGCGGGTCGTCGGAGGACCAGAGGCCTTATTCAAAGGGACTGGCTCTGGAGAAACAATTGCCAAGCTAGAAGCAGACGCCCGAGCCAGAGGGTCAGTTGGAGCAGATGAAGTGAAGAAACTCTCGTACATGTGATCAGATTTCCGGCTCTCAGGCAGCCGAAGAGAAGAGCCCTTCTTATAGATCAGCGGAGGCAAACATATGGTCGGACTGCTCTGGACAAATTCAATAAATGCATCGATATTCTTCCGCCAATATCGCCTGAAAGATGAGGTGAAGCCCTCTACTCGGCTCAAGCCTGGCATCGTCAAAGAGCCGGATATAGGAAGCACGGTGTGTACGAGTCCGCGAGTAAAGTGCCCGTGGCTCTCTGAGAAAAATAATGAAAGAGGTGTTGGCCCCGAGGCACACTGGTCAAACCCGAATTGGCATGCCACTCTGTCAGGTCTGTAGACAGTGCTATCAACACCCTCCTCATGCCATACCAGTAACGAACTCGGACGAATCATTATCAGCATATCAACAAGGCATACAGAGATACCCTTCGGCAAAGGAAAGGACACCAGATGGGAGGAACCATGATAGATAAGCGGTGTTGCCACACCTATCGATGGGCATACATAAGGGCGTGTCACAAAGCGCCGGAAATCATCCACCAAAGTATTCAAGGATAAGATGGAAATGGCACGTGACCAATGTGTGATCAACGGCTGGCAAGACTTCGCTTTCTCAAATGTGCGAGACCCGTCAGTACTGAGCACAGGGATACCATCTTTATCCACTATCTCCCAAAGAACCTCTACCTCGAATACAGTCAGAGTAGGGGCAAACTTTGGGAACCTCTCGAAGAAAAAGCAATGCAGGAACTGCCTGTGGATGAAGGAGACAGGCTCATGTCGACCCACGGAACGAACCATGTCTCGATGTAGTAGATCTAGCCGGTAATAAAGATTCCCAAGAAATAGCGGAGCCAAAGGAATCTGATCCCCTCTAAAGAGCCTAACTGCCAAGGGGAAGAAAAAAGGATTGAGAGAATCCGGAGGTATGCTCGGAAGAATGAAGAATGAAAGGAAATAAGCCAGAAATTCCAAAAAATAGAGCCTAGAGCCATACATCGGGCCGACCTCATACTCTCGGGAATCAGGGTCAGCATCTCTA